AAGCTAGCTAGCTTTGTTCTTGGACACACACCGTTGAAGTTTGGTAATGTTTTCGTAAAAAATGCTAATGTCCGATGAGAATCCACTGAAGTTACATAATTCGTAATGTTCGAACTTTGTAAAGGTTCCTGGTCAAATATCTGAAGTTTCCCAATTGATAGGTGTTATAAAAATCACAGTTATAGCTTTCGAAGTTTATAGCACACTGATTAATGCGAACTACTAATAGACACTTTGGCGCGTCGCGTTGATTATACTTATAAGCGTGGGAAGATTTTCTAGAAAATTCAGATTACGTAACAATGCAATTAAAGCTTTTACATACACACATATACTGTTGATTCTTACTCTCGAAAATCTTCTACAACTTTGGAGAATAGGCGGGATTCTCGCATTACATATCTAACAGTACAAGTTATGTATGTTTTTAAATATAAACTCAATCCAAGCAAACGTTGACATTAGAATAAATATGTAACAACAAATTCTTTACAGCAGGTTTTTAAATTCCAAATTTTCTATTCATCTTGTTGTTTTTAAGATGCAACAGCAACTTGCAAAAAAGGCTATCATTCTTGATAATGTGCAAACAAACGCCAAAACTAATAGAAATAACAGTAACGCTTTGAATTACAATGCATAGATAAATATTTACTTGAGATGTTATTAGATATGTATATAACGTTTAATCAATCATTATTTCTATTTAACATTTAATAACAATTAAATCAATTTCAATAAGAATAAGAATTCTAGCATTGGTAAATATTCATTGATTATCAGTCATCTGTTGATGTTAGTATTATCTTTTATTATTAATTAAATTATCCAAATACAAATGTATCATTTTGACATCCTTATTAAGAAATCTATTTAATTTTGGTAATTATTACTTGAATGTCAATTGAAGACATTAGAGGCATTGGAACCAGGAGTGCTGTAGCACCCCCTCTTTCAGATATTTGACTTGTATAGCAACCGTAAATTATGTTATTATATACATTTTCTGGGAACATGCCCCAGACTCCCTTAGATTGAACTGCTTTTGGCAGCATGGGAGATGCTTTTAGCAGCTCCTTATACCTTCAATCTCCCCCACCTTGCAACTCCGTCCTACACCATTGAATATAATTCATTGTCAGTTGCATATAAATACATTTTATTACTTTAACCTCGTTGGAAATAGGTTTAATTGTTATTAAATATCCATTGAATGTCAATGATATTATTTAAGTGTGATATACATATGTAATTGCATGTCAATTGAATATCTATGCCATACAATTTAATGCACTACCAAAATAATTGTTCTACATTTCTTTGTGGCGTGCATTTCTAAATGGACTGAAAGGAAATATAATAAAGATAACAAAACTATTATGATTCTGGAAATTATTGTTTTGGATATTTATAATGAAAGAAATAGCTTATTATTTTTTATGGGGCAACGTGCAGCCATGTGTGCCAACTGATAGATATGTTTATAAAATCAAAACACTACGTTTGAACACCAGAATGAAATGCTTTAATTGAGTATTTGCAGACAATTAGTCTAGCAAGTAAAATGTTATCTCTACAATGCAAACCTAATAGGATCATGCTTATTTTAAAGATTAGTCTCGATTTCAGATCAGGTCTCGGTCTTGGAATGTACATAAGGTCTTTGTCTTTACACCATCTCTGATAGAAACGTGCCTATGTTAGCTTGATACTTTGGTTTCAGGATGTAACATTTATCTATCTAAAAGGATTAGTACACGTTTACGACCTTGCGACATCCGTCAACTTAGACGTGAATAAATGCATGCAGAAACCTAAATAAAAACAATCTATTGTTGCATATCTGTTTGTTTGTTAATTTCCCGTAGAAATTCTTTTCGAGAAACTTCAGTGATACAAGTCCTTTCTTTCTTGATACAAACTTTGTAATACACTTAACAACTTTTATAACGCACGCTATAAATCACAGTGATTCACACACTTTACTTACGGTGCCTACTGTTCGTTTGACTCAATTATCTATCTCTTTGATCTATCTGCCTATATCGCTGGCTTTCTTTGCCAGGCTTATACACTAAAAAAAAAGAGGGCGTCTAGCAAGTACTCAGAGATTTGTGGGGTTCCCCGATAATTCTAGAAACTCCAGCGCGCATGCTACCAGAGTCACGCGACTTCCGCTGTCGTAACACTATACTAATAAAAAAGTGAACTTATTAACTGTTTCAGTTACGACACTGTTCGAATTATTTGGTCACAGTCAAGATTAACACTATAAAAGCAAACAAAAGGGATGATAAAAGGATAAACCAATGTTTCCCCCCTAAACTAACAATGCAACAGTACTTTAAATTATATAAGAAACTAGGCCACCATGACCCGTTGGGTCAACCACTATTCAGAGGTCGTGAAGAATTCAAGCTAATTTCAATATTGCACCGAAATGGAGGTTTATTTGAGATAATTGAATTAAATATTTCAATCCATTCGTGTTATTCATAATTCAAGAAAAGATATTTTATTGTTGATAGGGAGTAAAAGGAAAGACCATTTCATTTTTCAAAAAAAAGTGAAGTAAGAAGTTTCGTAAAGAGCGCGAACGGTAGTGTGAATGATTTTTTGACTGAGAAAATAAGTAATCAATCTCAGAGTTTTAGTAGTATATAGATAGATTCTTCAAGATCTTGTTTTTGTCATCTTACGCTTTTTAATGAAGATGCAAACATTGACAGGGAAGTAATATTATA